TAATATTTCTCTCACATGTCACATTCCAATGATCCGAGGACCCCTGAGTCTGCTGGCTACTCCCACACATTTTTTTATTTTTTTTTTTTTGAACCCTTGCATTACGAATATAAGTTTTCTTTTTCTTAATCCCCCCGTACTGAAAGTTTGTTGGTCCAAGAGAGAAAAAAAAAAGAAAAAACAACTATCGGCATAAAAAAGAAGGCTGCGGTTGGTCGAAAAAGACCATCTTATATTTGACGTGTTAGCTATTTGACCCTGGAGGTTAGACGATGTGGTACATAATATAACGACTCCGAAAGGCAGTAAGAAGCTCATTGTGTGTGCACCATTAATGTGAAATAATAATTTCAGTAAAAATAATTGTCTCGTAAAAATATGACGAAGAAAAATAAGAAGAAAAAGAAGAGTTGGAAAAAGGAGAGCAATTTAAAAAATTAAGAAACAAAGAAGATGAAATGAAAAAAGAAGGAAAAAAATGAAGAGAAAAATAAAAAAAGAAAAAAAGAATACGAATGAAACAAAAGCAACCCGTGTGGAAATCTGCCCAAGTTAGCCCAGTTAAAAACTGGGAGCCAGCTGGGCCCCACCTGGGCTTCCCATTTTCATAAAAATATTAACATTATAATAGAAAAAGTCTGAAAATTAAATATAACTATTCACAATAAATCATTCTACAATTAATTCATAATAATAATAATCATTATTATTTTAAACAATTTATTATTGTCAATAATTATAAACTTTTATTGTACTACACTAACAGACATTTAGTTTTATTGAAATTTTAAAGTTGTTCCAGCTGAATTTATTTATTTAATAATTAACTCATCAAGGTATAACGGTTTTTAATACATTTTAATAATTGTTTAAACAAATAATTGTTGTTATTTAATAACTTTTGATACACATAACTTAGAAACTTGCAATTTTTTTTCCTAATTTTGCAATTAACTAATAGGAACGACATAAAATAAAGAAAATTTATGGTTTTAACAATTCAGAAATTGTTTAAACAAATGATTGTTGTTATTTATTAACTTTTGATACACATAACTTAGAAACTTGCAATTTTTTTCCTAATTTTGCAATTAAGTAATACGAACAACATAAAATAAAGATAATTTATGGTTTTAACAATTAAGAAATTGTTTAAACAAATTATTGTTGTTATTTATTAACTTTTGATACACATAACTTAGAAACTTGCAGTTTTTTCCTAATTTTGCAATTAACTAATGTAAATAGTAAATCATTCGGATGTTTTATGATTTTAATTTTAACAATTTATCAAATGTTTAAACAAATAATTGTTGTTATTTACTAACTCTTGACACATAGCATCTAGAAGAATGAAGTTTTTTCTTATTTTGCAATTAGTTAATCAGAGTAGTAGTAATTGTAAAATTAGAAAGAAACTGCAAGTTTCTGGATTGTTTGTATTAAAAGTTAATAAACAATAACAATTATTTGTTTAAACAATTTCTGAACTGTTTAAATCATAAAATACTGTTATTTCATACTTTTCAGATTAGTTAAATATAAAATTAAAAAGAAACTGCATTTTTTTAGGTGCTTTGTGTCAAAAATTAGTAAATAACAACAATCATTTGTTTAAACAATTTTTGAATTGTTAAAACCTTAAATTATTTTTATTTCATGTGGTTCGAATTAGTTAATTGCAAAATTAGAAAAAAACTGCATCTTTCTGGAAGCTAGTGTCAGGAGTTACTAATTAACAACAATTATTTATTTAAACAATAACGACTGCAATATAACATTAGTAAAATTTATTATATATAATAACAAAAATCGTTTACAGTGAAAATTATTAAATAGTTTAGTTTTTCTTTAACATTTAATAATAAAACTTTGATGTAATTATGGTCATCTTCGTACATGAATTGACAATTGACAAACATGTTAACATTTTACGGAAGCATTTTAGAGTTTGTCTATTGACCCACTCACGGTGGGTTCCGGTCAGGCGAAATAATATTATAAGTGGGCGTGAGCTGGGCCCTACCTGGGCTTCCCAGTTTTTGAGGACCCACATCAATAATTATATAAGTAAAAATTTCTAAGTCCAAACCTAAAAATTTTTTTTTCAACAAAAAATTAATGTTTATAATGACTTAGATTAAGAAAAAACGTGTTTTTAACAAAAATGTATTCACAATATTTTTTTTATGTAATGTCCACATAATTAATTAGTAAAAATTTCTAAGTCCAAACTAAAAAAAATTTTTTTTTTTAGACCAACAAATTAATGTTTATAATGATTGTAAACAATAAAAAACACATTTTTAATAAAAATGTATTGATATATTTTTTTCATAATAATATAAATATTATTTTAAGAATATTTATCGTTCTTATTACATTAATAATATTGTTATAATTATTATTAAATTATTTATTTGTTACGGTGTATTCGTGTCAGTAAGTGCTTTATTGAATCATTACAGCAGATTAACAAGTCACTGACAATAAAACGTCGGTGTTCAGTAGTTAGTCTCCGTAGTATAGTGGTTAGGGCGTTAGTCTAGTAGTCCGTAGGTCGTAGGTTCAATCCCCGCGTGCGTTAAATTTTATTTGTTTCTTAGGTTTGCGTTTATTCCGATTTTTCTGCATTGTATTCGTATAAGTATGCAATTTAGTGATTATATATACCGTTTAATAATTTAATTAACAAATTTCTAATTTTTTTATAAATTTTTAATTTATGAATGAAAGGATATATATTAATTCCCATATATATGCTAACATTATTTATGAATTTGCTTTTGGTCACAATTTCATTAAAAAAAGTAAAAATCGTTAAATAATAACGTTATTTATTTATAATTCGACTTATTTGTTATTAATAAACAATTTATTCATTAATTTGAATGAAAACTAAATCTATGGGCCCCAGCTGGATTTTTCCTAGGTGGGCTGTGGCTGGATTCACCGTTACAAGCCAAGGAATCGCCCACCTGGGCCATCCCTGCTGGGACCCACCTAGAACCTGGGAAGCCCACCTGGGACCCACCGTGGGCCCACCTCACTTTTCCACACGGGAAATTAAAAAGTGAAGAAGAAAAAAAGCCGAATTAAAGGGACAAAAAAAGCAAAAAGAAAAAACAGGGCTCGGATCGTCTTTAAGACTCAAAAAAAGTCGCTTTAGTCGCATAAATTTACAACAAAAGTCACAAAAAGTCGCATAAAATTTCCGAAAAAGTCGGAAAAAAGTCGCATGAAATCTTAGAAAAAAAACACAAAATTGTCAATAAATCACATTTCTCGACAACAGATACATTAACATCAAACAATCCGGAATAAAATTTTAAAAAATTTAATAAAATTCATAGCAAAATTTTAATTATTTTTATAAATAATAAAATTCTTCTCCGAAATTCAATTATTTAAAAAAAATTTTAATAAAATTCTTCTCTGAAATTCAATTATTTTCAAAAGTAATAAAATTCTTCACAGAAATTCAAATATATTCAAAATTTTTTAAAAATCTTTAGTCAAAATTTTATAAATAATAAAATTCATCATAAAAATTTAATTATTTTCAAAAGTTCTGATAAAATTCTTTGTAAAATTCAATTATCTTCAGAAATAAGAAAATTCTTCGCATAAAATAAAATAATTTTCAAAATTTTTTTTTAAATTCTCAAAATTTCAATTATGTTTATAAATATCAAAATTCTTCTGCAAAAATCAATTATTTTTAAACATTTTAAAAAAAATCTGTTCAAAATTTCAATTATCTTTGAGAGAAATAAAATTCTTCTCTAAAAGTCAATTATTTGCAAAGAATTTTAATAAAATTCTTGTCAAAATTTCAATTATCTTTATAAATAAAATTCATTCATAGAAATTCAATTATTTTCAAAAGTAATAAAATTCTTCGCAGAAGAATTCTTGTCAAGATTTCAATTATCTTTATAAAATATAATAAAATTCATTCTAGAAATTCAATTATTTTCAAAAGTAATAAAATTCTTCTCTGAAATTCAATTATTTGCAAAAATTTTAATAAAATTCTTGGCAAGATTTAAATTGTTTTTATAAATAATGAAACTTTTTTTTAAATTTCTCGTCAAAATTTTAATTATCTTCATAAATAATGAAATTCATCCTGGAAATTTAATTATTTTCAAAAGTTCTGATAAAATTCTTTGCAAAATTAAATTATCTTCAGAAGTGAGAAAATTCTTGGCAGAAATTAAATTATTTTCAAAATTCTTTTTTTAATTCTCCTCAAAATTTCAATTGTTTTTGTAAATATCAAAATTCTTCTGCAAAATTCAATTGCCTACTAATGTTTTATAAATTTCTTCCCAATAATTCAATTATTTTCATAAAAAAAAACTAAAAAAAATTTTTTTTTATAAAGTTTTATAATATAAAATAATGATTTTATCACTCGGTCATTTTTAATTATTATAAAACATGAAGACATTTATTGCTCCGAGTCGAAGACTCTGATCAATCGATGTCTTCATGTTTTATAACAATTTTTTATAAGTCACATTTTACTAAAAAAAATCTTGAAAAAGTCGATTCACAAAAAAGTCGAAAAAAGTCACACATTTCCTTAGAAATGTCGAAAAAGTCGCACTATCCGAGCCCTGAAAAAGTGAACAAAGAATCTTTAGATTCTAATTTTCCAAAAGCCCACATATTAGTGTTGTTCGAACACTATATAGTGGATATATTCTTCCTATAAACAGAACCGCTTCTCTCTTAAGGGGCTCGCGATCTAAAAATAACCAATTCGCATCTGCACCTCGTTGACAGTGACAGTTTCAATGCGAACTTTGACCCAACTGGGCACCAAAAAAAAAAAAAAAAACCCCCAACTCTCCACGATTTCATCTCTAATTTTGCAAAAAAAAAAAAAATTAACCCTCTCGCTAAAAAACGAATTTTACTGTTATACCTCATATATAGTGGGCGTGTAAAATTCTCTTGTAAGAAGAAGAAGAAGAAAAAAATATTTCCCTTCGCAGTTGCGGTTTTAAAAGAGTTTTTTGTAAAACTGACCTGTCTTTTCCAATTTTTATTGTAGTCATTTCACGCATTCTTTGGTCCTTCTCCTCCTCCTCCTCATTCTCTTCTTTGGTCCTTGAAATATGTGTTGTCTGTCAGTGTAATACCCATCTCTCTGAAACATATATAGAAAGACATTGGTCACATAAGAGATTGTCTCTCGCATAAATGTGTAAATGTGTAAGGATTACATGCAGAGAGAGAGATAAAGATTGAGCGTTTGAACTGAGAGAGAGGGGGGGGGAAGGAGGAAGAAAAAAAAAGAAGAGCAATATGTAACCAAGTCACGTGCAATGGTCGTACTGCCTGCTAGCCAAGCAGGTTTCATCAAACCGTTTCGCATCGTTTCGTGTACACTGACATATTGTCCCCTAACTCTATAATTCGATTCTCCGAATTTTCATTTATAAAATTTAACACTCATTTCACTTAAATAGTGTGCTGGTTATAAAAAAAAAATGTTTCATTCAAATGTTTTTGTGCAGAAAAAAAAGAAGGAAGAAAAAAATTTATTTGCGAATTAGCCCACGAAAATTAGCCCGTCAAAAAATTCCATCGCAGTATACCCCCTGGAAATTACATGGAATTTCCGTGGAGTTTCCATGGAAATTCTGCAAGTTTTTTATTTTAAAAATATTTTAACATAATTCAAATTCTTCTGAAATCTAGTTCAATTTTAAATATATTATTAAATTAATTATTAAAAATAATTAATAAAAATAATTAATTTACATAAGAATTTTATTTAAAAACACGAATAAAATTGAATTTTGGAAAAATTACAATGAATTCCAGTAATTCAATTATTTTCAAAAGTAATAAAAATTCTTCTCAAGAATTCAATTATTTATGAAAATAATTAAATAAAGTCCTTCGTAAAAATTCAATTATTTTCATAAATTATAAAATTGTTTTTAGGAATGCAATTATTTTCATAATAATAAAACTCATGGCAGAATTTCCATTATTTTCATAAATAATAAAATTCTTTTCATGAATCCAATTATTATTTTCAAATGAAATAAAATTCTTCGCAGAAATTCAATTATTATGTTCAAAAATTTTTAAATATGCCACGTGAAAATTTCCATTATCTTTAAAAATAATAAAATTCTTCTACAAAATTTAATTATTTTCAAAAATTTTAATAACATTCTTTGCAAAATTTCAATTACTTATTCAAAAATTTTCCTCAATTCAATGATTTTCAATATCTACTGTTTTAATAAAATTTTTCAAAAGATTTCAATTATTTAAAAAAAGTGTTGATAAAATTCTAAGCAGACATTAAATTATTTTCATAAATAATAGAAATTTCGCAGGAATTCAACTATTTACAAATGTTTTTACTTTTTATAAATTTCTTGTCAATAATTCAATTATTTGCATAAATAATAAAAATTTTTATCGAGATTTAATTATTTTCATAAATAATAAAACTCATAATAGAATTTCAATTATTTTTAAAATAATTTTAATCGAATTCATAGAAAAATGTAATTAAAATTTTTATTAATATTCGTCGAAAGAATTCAATTATTTTAAAATTTGTTGATAAAATTCTTTATGAGGATTCAATTTTAATAAACATTCATTCATCCAATAAATTATTATATTTTTTTAAAAATAATTGAATTCATTTAAAAAATTTGATTAAAATTGAATTCTTAAAACGAATTATATTACATTTTTTAAATAATTGAATTCATATGAAAAATTTTATTGCTTGTAAAAATAATTGAATTCATGTGAAAAATTTTATTGCTTGTAAAAATAATTGAATTCTTGCGAAGGATTTTATTAAAATTTTTGTAAATAATTTAATTTTTGTTTTGGAAAATTTTATGAAAATTTAAATTATTATAAAACATGAAGATATCAATCATTCCGAGTCGAAGACTCGGAGTGATCGATATCTTCATGTTTTATAATATAATAATAATATTTTTATAAGTTTTGTTGAATTTCGCATAAAGATTTGAATTTGAAATTTTTTGAAAATCTTAATTTCTATGAAATAATAATAGCACTTGATTAAATATTTATTTAAAAAAAAATTTATCAAATGAACAAAATTTTTTTCTATTTGAATATTTGCTTAACAATTACTATAAAAAAGGAAAATAGCTCAAATTAAATATTTAGAGTTAAGAGTTAATTTCCTAATTATACAGAATAATTGTTTTTTTATACAAAAGAAGAATTTAAAATAAGTAAAAAAAATATTGTTTCTTTGAACGTACAAAGCTTTAGGAACATAATATTACTATTAGCAAAAAAATTCGTTAATTTAAAAGTTTAAAAATGACAATTTTTGAAAAAAAATTGTAATTTAAAAAACAGTATGGTAATTTTTGAAAATAGTTAAATGGGCAAAAAAATTCGTTCATTTAAAAGTTAAAAAATTGTAAGTTTTGAACTTTGAAATGAACGAATTCCAAAAATTTGGTTAAAGATAGAAAAAGTTAATTTATTAACAATTTGAAGTTTTAGATTCTTGTTTAATTATATATTTATTAAAGTAATTGTTCATTTATTAATTATTAAATTTTATTAAGTAAATAAATAATAAAGTTAAATTATAATATTGAAATATTATATTTGCAATATTTATTGGAAAAATAAACAGATGCAAACATATCAATTTGGCATTTATACCAAAACGGATGTAAGATTTAATATACCGCACTTCGAGGGAAATTCCCGAATCGAAGAAAAGGAAAAAGATGGTGAAATTAGAATAATTTATTGCGTGGAATAATGGTCAAAAATAATCGTCAGTATTTATGTACGTACAGTGAAAGTTGTTCCTGGAAATTTGAAAGGGGAAACTCCAGATTAAATAATAATTATTAAACAGGTGTATGACGCAAAAGAAATTTTTTTTCCTCCGTTTATGAAGTACCTATGGAAAATCACATTTCCCCCGGATCTTTATTTATTATAATCACCGTCGAAGGAAAAAAAAACAAAAAAGATTGGATCCTGATGAAGAATTCTTCGTTTTTACATTAAAAAGATAAAGGAAATGAAGAAGAAATGGGAAAAGAAAAATAAAATTAAAATTAATAGAAAACTGAAAAGAAAAGAGGGCTAAAAAAATAAACAGAAAAGAGAAAAGAAAAGTAAAAAGAAGAAGAAGAAAATTGAAAAGAAAAGTAAAAAAATTAATAGAAATAACTGAAAAGAAAAGTAAAAAGAAAGGGGAAAAGAAAATTAAAAATAAAAATAAGAGAAAACTGTAAAGAAAAGTAAAAAATCATATTCATAAAAATAATAAAACAAACATCAGCGCGCATCTGTAGACACAAAAAAAAATTAAATGTGCCAAGGCCGCATCGAAAGATTTATCCATTTGTAAGGGATTTCCTACAAATATATTTTATATTCAAAACTAAAAAAACCAGATAAATGTTTTTTTTAAAGAAAAATGTAGACACAACACTTGGGATAATACCACCGACAAATTTTTATTGTTAATTTGACAATTCCTTTTTTTAATTAAAACCCTATTGATAAAAATAAAATAGAAAAAAGAACATGAAATTTTTTTTTTTCTTCATCATTAGGAAGGAGAAAAGACTTGAAACGCCTTTTGCCTACTGATGAAGACAAAAATCTTGGAAAATTTGCATAATATTTCGTCGTGTAGTTCTTTGTTCTTTGAAGAAGCGTGGACGAGCGTTATATATATACATACAAGAGCAAGTAATTTCCATATGCGAACGTACTTAAGAAAGAGAAAACGACGTGCAAACTACGCAGTGAACTAATCTCAAAAAAAGGGGGGAAAAAGATAAGAGAAGTCTTGAAAAAGAGAGTAGGGAAAGTGACAAGTTGTGGATCGTTTACTTTAACGAAAAAGGAGAGAGAAATTTACGTGAAAGAAAAGCTGGAGAGAGAAAAAAAAAGGAGAAAGAGGGTAGAGGAAACAAAAGTGAATAAAAAAAGAGGAACTTGGAGAAAAAAACGAAAAGTAGAAGTGAAGAAAGGGGACTAAATGTAAAAAAAAGAATAAATGTAAACAAACGAGAATTAGAAGTAAACGAACGAAAATTGGAAGTAAACAAAGAAAACTAAAAGTAAACAAATAAAAACTAAAAGTAAACAAATGAAAATTAGAAGTAAATGAACGAAAATTGGAAGTAAACAAAGAAAATTAAAAGTAAACAAATGAAAATTAGAAGTAAACGAACGACAATTGAAAGTAAACAAAGAAAACTAAAAGTAAACGAAGGAAAACTAAAAGTAAGCAAATGAAAATTAGAAGTAAACGAACGAAAATGGAAAGTAAACAATGAAAAGTAAATGTAAACGAAGGAAAATTAAAAGTAAACGAACAAAAATTCAAAGTAAACAAACTAGAATTATAATTTTTCTTTTCAAATATTTTTAATTTTAAAATTAATGTATTGAAAATTATCGAATTGTTGCAAAGAATTTTATCAAAAAATTTGATAATAATAGAATTTCTTCAAAGAACTTTATTATTTAGGAAAATAACTAAATTCTCTCAAAGAATTTTATTAAAATTTTTAAAAATCAGAATTAAATTCATTTAAAGAATTTCTTTGAATTTTCTTTTAAACTAATGGAGTTTCTTTAATAATTTTAATTAAAAATTTTGAAAGTAATTGAATTTTATTAAAATTGTATTGAAAATAATTGAATTCTTGCAAAGAATTTTACTATTTATAAAAATAATTGAATTTTTCTGAAGAATTTATTAAAATTTTAGAAAATAAATTAATTTTATGTTAATATTTGAAAATTAAAGTTCTTTCGAGGGAATTCTATTAAAATTTTGTTGAAAAGAATTGAATTTCTGGAAAGGATTTAAAAAAATAATTAAACTATTGCAAAGAATTTATTAAGATTTTAGAAAATAAATGAATTTTATGTTAATATTTAAAAATTTAAGTTCTTTCGAACACGGAGAAAAAGGAATTGTTAAATCCACTAATTAATTGTTAATATAGAACTAGCAAATCTGATTTGTTGTTGAAACAGTTTTTTTGTTCTCCTAACAAATCAAAATTGTTGTGATAACAATTAATTTGTTTGTAGAACAAAAAAAATTGTTGCAACAACAAATCAGATTTGCTAGTTCTATAT